CCCCTCTGATGCCTGACACCAGCCCTTATGAACTGGAGGGGTCCACCCAACCACCAGCCCCGGGCAGAGAGAGCTCAGAGATGACCTTGGTCCCAGCACCAGAGCCAAGGGAGCAGGACATGCCCCTCTCGTGCCCCTGTCCTCTCCCCCTCAGGGCGGTGGAAAGGAGTTGAGCCAGAGGTGCTAGAAACAAAGGCCCAGTTCCGTCTGGTTCAGAATACAGATTCTGTAAAGTGCTCGGGATTGGACCTGTGACGGTAACAATCGCACCACCTGTGCAGGGTCTCCTACTGGCTCTTGGGAGAGGTTAACAAGGTCACCAGTCTGGTCGAGCTTGTTGCCGGTCGGCTATGTGGACACTGCAGGGGATTGGCTCGGTTTGTGGGAATGAACCCACCTTGGCCCTAGCAGCCCCCGTTGCCCTCAGGTTTTCGGCTCTCTGTACACTGTGCCTCTGCTGGGACCCTCCTTTGTCTGCCAGCCTCAGGACTCTTCAGACCCAGTGACAAGGCAGACGAGGTCCACAGAGCTTCGTGGGCTGACAGCGCTGTCCACCCTCACCCCCCGCAGCTCTCCAGGGCACAGGGGGACTTCCCCAGAGGGCTTCCATGGAAGCAGACCAACACAGCCTTCCCTGGGAGTGGCTGGGGGCGTCTGGTCACAAGCTTTTGGTTAACATGTGAAAATCAACCACCGCGCCATCGAGTCAAATATGACTCTGGCGACCCTCTGAACAACCCATCTGAGCCTGTCCTGTCCTGTGCCATCCTCACCTCTGACACACTTGAGCCCACGGCTCCAGTCACTGTGTCTCAGGGTCTTCCTCTTTTGTTGTCCCTCCCCCTTTGCAAGCATGATGTTCTTTGCCAAGAAACAGCCCCTTCTGGCGACATGTCCCAAGATGCGAGGTAAAGATGTCCCATCTTTGCTTCCAAGGAGCACTCTGACTGCACCTTCTCTGAGACACATCTGTTTGTGCTTTGAGCAGTCCGTGGGAATATCCCAACACAAACCCCCTCAAACTCACTGCTGTCAAATGGGTTCTGAATCACAGCAAGCCTTCAAAGGTTCTGAGGTTGTCAGGCATGAGGGAAGATCGCTTATCTATTCCCTGCAGGCTGTTGGTGGATTCAAACCTTCGAAGCAGCACTGCCTTGGGGTTAATAGCACATCTCACTTCGGATCACATCTGAGCTGCCTGCCTCCTAACACTGGAGCCACAGCAACTGTATGTGTGAACTCATAACTCTGTTAGGCAGTGACCATCATCATCTTTAGAGGCCAGTGACCTACCTCGAACGTTTAGAGATGAGTGACCTGCTCAGTGTCACCCACCTGGTGACCACAAAGCTTTGCACTCAGGTAGCCAGGGGCTGGGATGGGTACTGTTAACCACCAGGGAAAAATGCTGGACTTCTGTCTGAATCAAAACCTATCACTCCCACAAATGCTTCTTCTCTGCCAGGCTTCCTGGCTTAGAACCTGACACGGCCATCCACCCAGAGAGGACAGCCATGTCATCCCAGACAGCACCGCCCTCCTCCAGGCCCTCTGGAGCACTCGCCACTCCCAATCCACGGCACCAGGTCATCAGCATCAGGCCTCTAATCCAGTGCTTTTCAACCCCAGTCACTCTGTCCACCTCACCCTCCTGACAATGTCTGAAGACTTCTGGTTGTTACGCAAAACTTCTACAAAACCACAATCATCAAAACACTGTGGTAATGGCTTATGAACTGAAAGCCTAGGAGAAAAACCTCTCACATCTATGGTCTTCTGACTTCTGACAAGGGCACCAAATACTCCACAAATTTTGTGAGGACAATTAGCTCTTCACATGTAAATCCATAAAGTTCAATCCTTCCCTCACATCATATGCAAAATGATTTTAAATTGGAAACAAGGCACATATTTAAGAACTAACACTGTGCGACTCTTCATGACCATGAGTTTGACCAATTTTTGTTTAATGACAACAAATCAGGCAACAAGAGAAAAAGAAAAATAAAAGTTGCTTTCCTAAAGGATACTGTAGTGAGAATAGAGAGTCTTTGAGCTGCAGCTGCAGAGAGACAGGAAGATCCTTTCTCCTGACTGTGGAAGCAAAGGGGGGAAAGGCAAGAATGACAGCCGTTTTCTAAGCACCCCACAAGCTATGATCCATCTAGGAGGAGAGTTTGATGGAAAAAGTGCAGATGACAGAAACTGAGTCTTTTCAAAGTGGGAAGACAGGTGAGCTCTGGTGGCCTAGTGGCAAGAAGCTGCACTGCAATCCCAGAGGTGAGCGGTTCAAATCCATCAGATGCTCTGCTGGAGAAGGAGGGTCAATCTTCTCCTGTACCAGTCAGATCCGATTTGATGGTACACACACACACACACAAAATAGTAATTTAAAAAAAAAAAGTGGGCAGACAAACTTCTTCACAAACGGAAATTGAGTGGCAAAGAGACAAACATGGTGAGGGACGTTAAGGATGGCAAGACAACCCTGGCATACTTTTGGCGGTGCTGTTACTATGAGAGGGCACAGGAAGGTTAGTGGCTTGGGGCTGTTTTTCCCTCGTACTATTTTTTTCTTTACCCAAGTGTCTGGGCAAAGCTGATTAGAAGTCTGTACTTGGTAGGAAGGCGCTGATTAAAATTTCAAGAAACTGGGAGAGTTCTGTTGGCCTAGTGGCAAGAAGCTGCACTATAATCCCAGAGATATGCGGTTCAAATCCACCAGATGCTCTGCCGAAGGAGGAGAGGCAATCTCCTCCTGTACCAGTCAGATCTGATTTGATGGTACAGACACACACAAAATAATAAAAAATTTATAAAAAAAATTTCAGGAAACTGGTTCTGTTTTGATCTGCAAATTCATCATGCTTTTTAATTTGCATTTTAAAACTTAATGATTTTTAAGAAATAAAAAAGTGAATATCTTTTTATACTTTCTTTTGGAATATTTATCAATTGGAAATAAAACTCATATATTAAGAGTAATATATATCCATGGTAGAGTGGAAATCCAATGTTCTTGGCAAAACTTTCACTAAATCACAATAAAAGGAAAAAGAGTGAAAAGACAACTCAGGGAACAGGAGAAAGTATGTGCAAACCACAAATCTGGTAAGTATTAAGGGCTTTATATCCAGAAAAAATTAAGAACTTTAACCAAAAGCCCCACAGTTATCTTAAGGAAAAAGAGGGTAAGTTAAACCTGCTCACAGCCACAGCCGCTAGGACTGTGTGCTCAGACTCCCAGGCTACAGTCTTTCTCCAGCCAGGCTAGAGACACAACCTCAGGGCAAGCCCAGGGCCAGAAAGGGGTCTTTAAGGGTGGACCTCCAGACTAAGTCTCACCCTCCCTCCTTCCACCAGAAGGAATTCCAAACATCAGGCTCCACCCTCCCACAAGAGGTCCTTTTTCCTTCTTTATAAAGAAGACTTTATCTCAGCCATCTGAAAGGCTGCAGCCCAGCCCGTGACCTTCGTGACCTTCGGTACTAGGTGCTCCAGTCTTGCTTCCAGTCTGTCAAGGAGAGGGAGGTAGATTCCTTTTTCCGGGGAGAAATGAATCCCAGACTCTGTGCCAGGCCTGGTTTGGAGACCACCACAGGGGTGGAGGACACGCTCCACCCTGGCCGCACCCCAACCTCACCCCGCCAGGGAAGAAAACTTGGATTGAGGGCTCACCCCTCTTCACTGAGCCTGTCTGTCTGGATTCCATGGGAACTGATCATCTTTTCAGGGCACAAAATTTGTGTCATCACAGATAATAGAGGCTTACAGTGTTCCCCCAGAACCCTGCTCAAACACACTGAGGTCCCAAGAGCCCCAGGAATGAGGGTGGCAGGTTCCAGATGTTCTAAAACCTCATTCTCAACACACACACCCATACTTACCCTGAAGACCAAAAGCCCTGTGCCAGCTTCCTAATCCAGAGGCCAACTGCCACACAACCAACGTGTACCACACCCGGTCAGGTGGCAGGTTTCAGGACCCCTGAGGTACCTCAACCAAACCCCTGAGGGTTCTAATGAGATCTGGGGAGCCCTGCGGAGAGGCACCCTAGAAAACAGCAGTCCACATTTCTGGGTCTGGTTCCCTAATTCCAGTTATCCAGAAAAAAGCAGGACTTGAACTTGGATGGTCTGACTTCTACATTTCTCATCTTAACAGAAAACAGCTGGAGGAGATCTACACATAAGGGACACAACTGTTGGGCCTAACACCCCTAGTTCCTCTTGGGGAGGCGGCAGGACACAAATTTAAGCCTGAATCCCCACCTGTCCCTCCACCCCATCAACATGGCCTCCAGGGAAGAGCAGAAAGATACCCTCCTTCCTGCACCCCACCTTCTGGAAGGGCAGGCCAAGGGCCTTGATCAAAGCTGAGGTGAGAAAGTCCAGCTTCTTTCATTGCCCAAAATAGCTCCAGTTTGCTAGGTGGCCGCCAGCTTGGGTTTACAGGCCAGTCTTGGCCTCCCAAGTCCCAGCCTGCCTGGAGAGCTGGGGCCTCCCTGTGATCTTGGGGGACTCCTAAGGCTTGGGCTACTCTGGCTTCAGGGGCCCCTGGAGCAGGTTGGGCACAGGTTGGGGAAAGCAAATGCCCATTCTAGCAGGTTCTCCTGGACAACTCTCTCCAACTCCTGGCCTACCACTGAGAAGGCCGAGTTCTTCAGCAGGGACAGTTGGAGAGTGAGTGGAAGCAGCCATGGCCTGTGACCCTGGAGCTCCTGCAGAATTCAACACCCTGTCATCCTCCACCTCTCAGAGTCCCCCGTGACAAGCTTGTATGGTAGACTTCTGAGACTCAGAGAGGCACGGCGGTCTGCAGAGGCCACAGAGCCAGTGAGACTCCGGGAGTCCTGATGCCTGGGCTGTCCACTGCGCTTTCTCAGAAAACCCTTCCACCCAGAACCCAGGCCGAAAGCCGCATTTCAGGCTGTGATAGGAGAAAGGAAACCAGGTAAGGTTTCCTCGCCTGGAAGCCTGCGTTCTCAGCTGCTCCCTCACCTTGTTAAACTGGAAGAGATCCTGCTTAAGCCTCTCCCGCTCCGGGTCAGGGCCAGGCCGTAGGAACCGCCTCATCTTGCTTTGGTAGAAGCTCCCTCGAAGACCTACTGAAGGAAACAGGAGAAGGTGTTAAGTCCCAGGGCACAAACACACGTCCCCCACTCAGTCACTGGCTTAGCATCCTGGACAGTACAGGTCCACCTTCTACCATCCAGGTATCTGGTGTCCCTTAGGCCGTGTGGCGTGGGGTCTGGTGGTATCTGGAGGCCAGGCTTGGCTAATGTTCTGAGGCTGGCTCCGCTGGACCTGTGGCCTTGTAACGCCAGCAGAGAAGCTGGGGGAGGAAGCCATGCAGCTTGGCTTTACAGGAACAGAAGGGCTGGAAGGCCCCAGGGTTAATGAGCTTAATTGTTAACCTGTTTTCTGAAAAACCATAAAACTCCAGCTAAACAGAAAGGGAAACTTCATAAGCTTTCCTCCTCAGAGTCAGGAGGAGGCTGGAATGCAGGGGCTGCCGCCACAGGGCCCCCAGACCAGAGCCACGCAGGGCTGAGGAGGGGGACCCTGGGTCGGCAGACCTGGTCTGTCCTGTCCTCAATTTCCAGAGCCTGGGAGGGGGGTGCCTCTCCTCAGGCCGAAGCAGAGCCAACCAGCCATAGGTGCCAGCACCCCGAGTAGGCAAGGAGCTGGAATGAGTCTAGGGGTGCTAGACCTTCCGCCAGACCTGGGGATTCCACGTGGAGAGGCTCCAGTCTCACCAGGCCTCAGCCTCCCCAGCTCTCCTTTCCTGCCCCCACTAGCTCCTGCCCTTGCAGGCCCAACTCTCCTGGTCTTTGTTGGGATCAGGTTTGTTGGGGTGCCCTCAGAGTGGCCCCCTCTTTTCAGGGGCTCAAGTGGGATGTCATCAGGAGACTAAACCGTTTCTGATAAAGAAACCAGACCAGGGCCCCAGAACCTCCGCCCACTATCAGCAGCATTCCCAAACTATTTCTGGATTAGCCTAGGGGGAGGGGCGGGTCGCCTGGGCTCGGGCTTCCGGCTCCAGGAGCAAGGCCTCCCGCTGGCCATGGGCTTGGAGGGCTGGGCACAATGGGGTCAAGCCCACCCCGGAAATGAAATGGCTCTGTTCCTCTGCTGGGACTACATCCCATTCTGCACTAGACTATAAAGGGAGGGAAGGGACAGGTCAGTCCGTGCCCTAGAGGAGTGCATGCAGGAACAACGGCAGGTAGGGACAGCCAGTGAAGGGTGACAAGGGGCACCCGCTGCAAACGGGGTGAGAACACTGGAGAAGACCCCCAAGCACAAGACTGAAGGGGCCCCAAAGATTCTGGCTTCAGAAGAGTAAAAAATGAACAGCTAGACTAGGGCTTTGCACATGGAAGGAAGCTGTGTGGTTCAAGACTAGAGGGCCCCTGGAGGGCATTCACCACACCCAGAGAGCAAGCAGGGAGGACCTCCACTCAGCTGTGACCTAGATGGAGACCCGTCCTAGGCGGTCAGCTCCCCTCACACCCAGGGCTCTCCCAGGAGCAGGCAGACCAGCCCTCAGAGCACCAATCTACAAGGCCACAGCTTGTGAAAAGAGAAGGGGTGGCCATAAGAACTTTGGGGGTTCATGTTTCAGGAAGCCAGAGCTTGGTCAACCTGGGAATGGGCCTCCCTCATGCTCCCAGCAGTGGGGCACAGTCACTCCCTCCCAGGCGTCCACTTGCTCTCAGGACCCACAGTGTTTCCAGCAGATGAGGCTGGGGAAGCTCTTTGACATTCCTGGGAAAGGCCCAGAACACAGACTCAGGCGCTGTAGCTCTCAGTCCTGACAAACAGCCCAGCAGACCTCCTTGCCGTCCAGCCGTGGGGGAGGGTGCTGGCCGTAAATCAGCAGCAGCTTGGAGGGTTCCGGTCCCCTCTGGGCCTGGGGCACTGGGTCAGCGTCAGGAAGCGGAGTTGCGCTCCTGAAGAAGGCCAGGGGCTGGCAGGTTAGGGAGGTACCCCTAGAGACCCCCCCCCCCTTGCAAGACTCCTGCAGATCACAAAGGACAGGGAGGGATGAGAGGGCATGGGGCCAGCCGTGTAGGGGTCCACAAGCTCAGGACAGCACCCCAACAAGTGACTAGGAGAGTGAGGTGGGAGTGGGGAAAATGGGGAGAGGCCTTGAGGGCCTCCCCCTCAGCCAGGAGGGCACAGCACCTGCAAACACCCCTTTGCTCAGGTACGCTGCAAGACCAGCAACCCTCTGGTTCAGAGGTCACCCCAATGCCACCCAGGTCACCTCAGTAACAAGATGGTACAGACCCTGACCACCCTGCCCCTACCTGCCCCTAGCTTGTCCCTGTGTGAGCTGGCGACCCCAAAACACCCTGAAAGCCATCTACTGCCTTGATCAATGAGGAATCGAAGACCACAGGGGCCAAGCGATTGGTCCAGGGTTATCAAGTGGCAGAACTTGGATTTGATCCTCTATCTAACTCGCAAACCAAATAACTTGGGGAGTCACTGAAGGATGGACCCTCCAAGCCAGGAGATGCCTGATTATACTCAGGAGTTAAAAGGCCAAGAGACCTGTTGGTGCAGCACTTAGGCACGTGGCTGCTAACTGAAAGGCTGGCAGTTTAAACCCACCAGCTGCTCTGATTCCTCACCTTTTTGCCATGGAGCAACTAGTGGATTTGAACTATGTGCCTTTGGGTTGGCAGCACAACTCCTTACTAATAAGCCATCATTTAAGTGAGTCCACCAGCTGCTCTGAGAGTAAAAGCTGTGGCAGCCTGCTTCCGTAAAGACTGTAGCCTACGCATCACCATCAGCTCACGGCCATGAGTTGAGTTTCTGAAGCTGTAAGCCACACAGGAAGAGACAGCTGCTCTTTCCCGTAGGGAACCGACCGGAGATTCGAACTGCCAGAGTGCTAACTTTTGGGTTAGCAGCACGCTCCGTAGGGAATAGGCACTGTGAAGTTCAGGCCTGGTCCCTTCATGCAGAGACTGGTGGGCCTGGCTGAGCAGGGCTGGGAGGCCTTGCACGAGCCTGCCCATTCCACCGGGACTGAGGCCACAGTGCTGCAGGGTGACGGTGTCAGGGCCAAGCAGGGCTTTCCCAACATCTCCCCCAATTCCAATCCTCAGTGACAACAGAAATAACCTTAAAGGTCAAGGCATTAAAAAGCGCCATTCCTTCTTGAACAGAAGTGGGGCAACAGGTTTGAGTCTGGCCAGATACCTCTCAGCCTTAACTCTGCTGACCTCCGACAAGCAGGTTCTGCAGAGAAGCCTCAGGAGCACAGGCTCTGAGAGGAGCAGAACGCCCACTTGGCCCGCTCCAGGAATGCGTAGGGAATCCCGGGGAAGAGCCCACAGCCCTTCAAAGCAAGGTGGATGCCCTACAGTGGGGTGTGCTGGGAGGGGAGGCAACAGGCCAAAAGCTGACTGAGTGCGTAGCAGACAATGCTCAAAAGCTACAGCCTTCAGTACGCCTCACACAGAGAAGACCAGGCCTCACAACCGGCCAGATCTACCTCACCAGGCGAAACGGAGAAGAGACTGACAAGGTCAAGGGTTTCCTCTTCCTCAGATCCACATCAACACCCAAGGGGGAATCAAAGGACGTACTGCATCGGGCAAATCGGAAAGATTCTAAAGGTTAAGAATGCCCATTTCAAGACCAAGGTGTGCCACCCAAGCCAGATGTCAACTGCTTCACCTGCATGTGGAAATGAGAACAAGAATAAGGAAACCAAAGAACCAATGCCTGTGAATTGTGGTGCTGGTGGAGAATACCGAATAGCCCACAGACTGACAAAAGAACATCTGTCTTGAAGAAGGGCTCCTTGGAAGCAAGAATGGGGGGACTGTGTCTCACGTACTTGGGCGAGTTACCCGGAAGGGCTAGTCCCTGGAGAAAGTCAACGTGCTTGGAAAGTGGTGAGTTACTGAAAAGGAGGAAACCCCTCAACGAGATGGACAGATGTGGTGGCTGGAACGGTGGACTCAGAAGGGCGGGACTGGTGAGGATGGCACAGGGCTGGACAGCATTTCTCTCTGCTGGACACAGGGCCACCATGAGTCAGACCTGACTCAATGACACTTGACAACAGTGAAGGGGCTGGCAGGGAGCAGGCACTGATGTCAGGGGACAAGAACACGGCAAATAGACAAGACCCTTGTCTGAGCTGATTTCTCAGGGAAGACAAGTATATATTATCAGTTAACGGGGTGATGTCAGAGAACGAGCTGGCACAATGTTGAGGGAGAGCCCAAGGCAGCCTTCTTGCTCCTTGGCCTGGCACTCGTTGTCCCCTCTACCTGACTGTCCAGAACCATCTCCACCTCTCTTCACCTCCTTAGATATCTACACAAGTGTCACCGTCCAGGGCGCTCTTCCATCCAGCCTCTGCTGACATCTGTCTCCTCTATGCTGTCTTGTTTTCTCCCAATACTTGTCAGGCTGGGGCACGTCACATCCTTCACTTATTAACCATTTTTACTGCCCCCATAACACTCTGCAAGAATGGAAGTCAGAGAGAGAACAGTGATCTCTCTCCTCTTTATTCACTGCTTCTCCCAACAGTGATCTCTCTCCTCTTTATTCACTGCTTCTCCCAAGTGCGCACACCTGCTGCTATCTGCTGAATGAGTGACTGGGTGGGTGGGTGAGTGGAGGACGTGCTGCCTCCACTCCAGACATGAGACAGGAAGTGGCCGCCACATCAAGACTAGGGGACAGAGGAGGGGAAAGGAAGGCGCGATGCTTAGGGCACCAGAGCTTCTGGTAAGAGTGAATGGCTGAATGAAATGATGGTCCCATGTGATGTCACTGAACTGGCCACGTCAGGATGGCTAGAATGGCAAGTGTTTTGTTACGTGTATATCTAAATTGTTTTTTTAAAAGTTTAAAAAAAAACAAAACGATTCAGGGCAAGGGCAGAGTGAATCAGGCCAGAGGAAGAGGTGGTGCACAGACTCCCAGGAAAGACGCTTCTGAGATCCAGGATAACGAAGACTCAGAGATGCGGGGAATGGGGTGTGAGGAAGGTGGATGGGGAAAGGAGTCTTGTGGGGTGTAAGAGAGCTTCTGTT